TCCTCGGGTTTGGCAAAGCAACTGCAGGTGAAGCCTAACCCAACATGGTTTGCACTTGGGCCCAGCTAGCTCAATGCTGGGGTGCTCCAAGTCTTTGTCAATGTGCTGTACATGGGATGCAGAGTGCCACCCAGCGGTCAGACATGTTAATGGCAGGTAGACACTTTATCGTGTTAGCGGAGGATTGATAGTAGTGGCACCTGAGGGTGTTTTTACACGTGCTCCGGGGGTGGGACACTTTAATTACAGCGGCTGCAAGAGCTGCTCTAATTAAAGCACCTGCAGTATCTTGTGTACTCAGTATCCCGCATTTGAAAATGGCGGTGGGGTGCTTTAACTGAAGCTTATTTGACGTGCTTCAGTTAAAACACCCCCACTGTCATTCTGAAGTGTGGGGATGCTAACTACACAAGACATGGAGGCTGGCTGGAGCATGCCAATGGGGCGACTCAATTAATCAGGCCTGCTCTGATGCACTATAATTACAGCCCATTGGAGCAGCATCCCCACACATCTACAAGGGTACATGTCCTATGGCAAAGGCAGGGCAGGCTTGACACCCAACTGCATAGAAGCTGCCAAACTCACCTACCCCTCCGCTCTGGATGCACACATCCAAGTGAATGCATGCACCCTGTGCCACAGCTGTGGGAATTACTTACTGCAGCACAAGACAAGAGGCAGAAGCAGGGTTCATCATATGGCACTAAAGTGGCGCCGCATTCTACTGACCTGCAGTAGCTAGCGAGTGCCACCGTTCTGTGGAGGTGGGCATGAGTCTTTAGTTACGTTTAGTGTGCGAGTGGGTACCAGGTGCCAGCAGGCAGTCACACAGGATAGCAGAGCTCACTACCCACTGCCCAGGCACATCCAACCGGTTCTTCCTCCTGAGACTCAGAGCCCCCCCGGTAAACCACAGGTAGCAGCTCTGCTACACTGGGCTGAGCAGCAGCCACCCAATGGCAGAACCCATGGGAGCTGTGTTTGCTGGTCTCAGCTGTCACTCTTAACGCCTGTGACAAACGGCAGGGCCTTTATCACAATTGTGCTGAAAAATACATGCATGTATCTTGGGGCATGTGCCTTTGTGGCTCACTGTACCTGTATGTGTGTTAACAGCATGCTCTCGCTTACAGCCAGGTACCAGAAAATGTGGTGGCCTCAGTTTTCACTGGGTGCAGTAAGGGATGCAGATGCTCCAAATGTGGCTGCTATCAGGCTGGCTAAACAGTGCCAGGAGACAACTCTTCCCACCCCATTCCCCCAAGTCGGCTTTTCAGATTTAATGAACCAGTCAGATCCAAATTTTGCCTGGCCCAAGCCCACTGTTTATTCAGCCCTCATTATTTACAGCATATATGTTACACACTGTAACCCGCGATGTAACCCTTTACTAGCCGCAATGCGGCGGCTAGTAAAAGCGACCAAAACGCTGGCTTGCATCCATAGATGCTTCTCAAGCAAATCCCGGGACGTCATTCTCCCCCCTGTACTCGGCCTTAGTGAGGCTGCAGCTGGAGTACTGTGTCCAGTTTTGGGCTCCACAATTCAAAAAGGATGCGGAGAAGCTTGAGAGAGTCCAGAGAAGAGCCACGCGCATGATCAGAGGTCAGGGAAGCAGACCCTACGATGACAGGCTGAGAGCCCTGGGGCTCTTTAGCCTGAAAAAGCGCAGGCTCAGGGGTGATCTGATGGTCACCTACAAGTTTATCAGGGGTGACCACCAGCATCTGGGGGAACATTTGTTCACCAGAGCGCCCCAAGGGATGACGAGGTCGAATGGTCACAAACTACTTCAAGATCGTTTCAGGCTGGACATAAGGAAGAACTTCTTTACTGTCCGAGCCCCCAAGGTCTGGAACAGCCTGCCACCGGAGGTGGTTCAAGCGCCTTCATTGAACACCTTCAAGATGAAACTGGATGCTTATCTTGCTGGGATCCTATGACCCCAGCTGACTTCCTGCCCTTTGGGCGGGGGGCTGGACTCGATGATCTTCCGAGGTCCCTTCCAGCCCTGATGTCTATGAAATCTATGAAATCACTGCACACTCAGGCCAATATACCCAGAGACAAATGCCTCACTTTGGACCTGAGGCAAAAGCAGGTGAAGTCAACAAGCATTTTTCCAGTGACTTCTGAGAGCACTGACCTCTTGCCTGGGAACAGAAGATGCTGAGCACCCTCAACTTCAACTGATGTAAGGCAGGATTTAAAAGCTCTCAGCACCTTGTGGGGGCTGACATCCAGGTGTGCAGAGCAATAACACTACTAATGGAAGTTGCTCAGCATCTCTGAAAATCCGGCTCTTTGGATCAATAGTTCTCAACCTCATTCATCTTGAAACCTTACTTCCACATAGCAACATGAGATGGACATGGTTGTTGTGATGCCCTGACCCATATCGAGGATGCTGTGGGGATCATGGCCCCTACATTCAGAGCCTCTAGAGGACCCAACTTCTGCTGGACCACAGGCTGCAGCCCTTGCAATTCTAACAACCCACTACTGCATTGGTTGTTTCTTTGTTATTACTATACAAGAGAAGGAAAAACTCTAATTTGTTTAGCTTATTGGCCATGGTTACAAAACATGAGCATGACATGGAGGAAAAAAAACAGCTCCTCAGACAAAGGCCAGCTGACTGATCCAAGCCCACTCTGGTTACTACCCTTCCCACCCACCCCCTCCCCACTTTATACAACAGGTTTTTAGTGAGCAGGTACAGACAACTAGCAATATACACGTAAGTAATTAGAAATATTGCTTCAAGCAATGTGTTCAATATTTTCCTTTTAGTTAGTAGGCAAAATCCCAGGAACTGAAGTAAACACTGAGAAATAACTTAGAGATTTATCTTCTACAGAATTCTGTAATAATTTAGATTTTTTCCTCACCTTTTTACCTTCCCAGGGTAAAAAAAAAAAGAAGTCCCCCCCCCAGCCCTCCACCTTTTGCTTGCATTAGTATCTAGGATTATTTCAGAGTATTGCTGCATTGGAGATTTTCAATTTCACCTGCCTTGAATTTTATTAACTTCATCACCTTTTAACCTCACACCAGGAGCCAGCACACAGCTTCTGCTAGATTGATCAAAGTCTCTGCAATAGTGAGACATGCTCTGTGGGAAACCAGGAGAGTCCATAACGTTAACTGTCTGGCTGCTGGGTTGCAAGAGTCAGAACAAAATCCAAAACTAAAGGTCAAAGAAAAGAATGAATCACCCAGTTTGTATAGGGTTTACCATCACTGATAAAAAAACAGCATTTTTGACTTTAGGATAACTAACACACCTCAGCCAACCCAAAGTAAAAAACTAAATTGAAAAGAAGGCACTTCAGTTTTACCATGAAGTAAACTCACCTTGGTTACCTCTACACACTTAGTCGTTAAATCTTAGTGAGTTTACCCCAGGATGGCTCATGCATTTTAGTTACTCGCAAGGAAAAAAATGCAACTATTTGAGAATGAGGATGAGCATACTTCTTCCACATAGTGAACTGACATTTCCCATCTGTCCCTTCCACTCAAGCTTGTTGCAAGAACAAATATCCTCACAGGCCCACCTTTCTTATTTCCCTGGATACTTTTAGCCTGGGAGTAACAAAGACAAAGAAACACAGCATGATTCCCTCCACTACACATCGCAATACCTGATCTTAAGGCACTGCTCCACTGGGGAGCTTGCAGGACCAAGTCAACTTCAGAAGAGAGCAGGATGTAATGGGGTTTGCTGCTGCTGAGCATCAGAGAGACATTAAGTAGCTTGGTGGTTTCTGATTTCTCCCCTTCAGTGCCAGAGTGACAGTGCAAAGAAGAGAAATTAATCAGGTCACAGGAAGGCATAGGGTACAAATCCATTGGATGCCATGCACGCTGAGTGTTCAGTGCATCTGGTAGGGGGGAGGTCTTAATGGTGGTGCTTCTCATGGAAAGCAGTGAAAAAGGGAAGAGCAGTGCAGCAAAGAGCAGCAGTGCAACATCAGGGGAGCACAAGGAGCATGATCTTTCAGCACTTGGATGGTTCCAAAGAGAAAGGAACAGATCCAGAGAAGCCCAAGGCAAGCTTGAGTTTCTACAAAGGAGGCTAGGGCAGGACATTCTATGAAGCACCCCTGCCCTATCCCTTCTCACCACACACACACACACACACACACACACACAAACATCTCCCCAGAAAACCCCCATCCTTCGGGGTCTTGCCCCAAGGTGAGCTGGGAGAGGAGACCCCTTCTGCCCTCACCATCACACACCTCTGAACATGCAGTCTATTCTGCTGTTGAGCATCCTGGTGACCTGGACCAACCTTTCAGATTGCACTCACTGACTTACCTAAGCCTGGGACACTTCAGGAATGAACACTTCTCTTCTGATCCTTCTTCTTTTTGCATCTACAAGGATGCAGTTTTCTTGGTCAGAGGGGACCATTATGATTCATCTGCTCTGACCTCTTGCACAACACAAGCCATAAGAATTCATCTCGGTAGTAACTTCCTGAAACTCTTCTCTTATGCCTAAGTTTGAGCATATTATATCATATTTTTACAAAAAACCCCCCACCTCATCCTCACTTAGTTTACATTCACTTTAGACCTCATGGGCATTTTGTGCCTTTGGGGGCCAAACGTTCATCCAAGCTTCTCTAATGTCACTATATACATTTTGTAGGTGTGTCAACCTATATACATAACATCTACCAGGTGCCCACATGCCAGGTCCATGCCGCTGTAGCATGGGTGGGGCACTGCACTTCAAAGGAACCTGGGAATCAAGCTAGCTCCTAGCTGGCATCACAATCCAGGGCTATTGGGAAAGAGCATGGTAATAGCAACATCTGTGGTCATATAAGTATCATGGATTCCAGCAGAATTATCATCATGTAATCATACTGTTGTCCTGCAGTAACCAGACAGTTAACTTGCATCACCTAGCACTGACAATTTACAGAGTATATTTTGCAATTAGTTGAAGCTGAGCCTACCAGTTATTAGGTGAGAAGAATGTGAAAGCAGGGTTCCAGGTTTCATTAAAGCCAGATAATGTCTAGCTGATTAATGAGATCCCAGGAGGCCAATATAAAAACCTTAATGAATTTCCTTAGCAGCCTCCAAGCCTGTCTCCTTGGGCAGGAATTAGTCCCTCAAGCTGGTACATATTTCACCTGATAAGAGATTTTATCTTGGGAGTTTTCCAGGTTCAAAAAAAATCCTGGCAAATGAAAAAGCTTAGGCTTTAAATACCCAAATGTAGCAGGTTCCCTGCACAGACTAATTCTTCCAAGCCCATCTTTGAACCTGTCAAAGGGAGACCAAGCAGGAGACAAATTAATTTTTCCCCCTATTTACACTGGAAACCATTAATTAAAAATAAATGGCAGAAAATCAGAAAAAGAAAAAATGTCCAGAATCACTGAAGGCACATGGCTTCTGTTTCTCAACTGGCCTCTGAATGGCATGGAGGCTTTGAGGCAGAAGTGGAGAGGTTGTTGTGTAACCGTCCTCAGCCACATCTCGTGTGAGGTCAGAATTATGGTAAAATCTGAGCTGGGACAGGTCGTGCTCTCACTGGCAAGACGGAGAGAGATGCTGACACAAGTGACCAGAGCAGATACCTTCTTAGATGGTGTATGGCTGTGGCAGGACATCAGTATGTGCCAAGGGGGCTCATCTGGATGTGAAGAGGTTTGGCACCAATTCCCACCTGGCACAGAAACATCATCTGTCTCCAAAGTCAGTGTGTGGCACTGATCAGTAGTCTGTCAGGGGGAGCAAACCACTGTTCTTTGGTGGCACTAATACCTTTGAACTTGAGCAAGAAGAGCTTCTACAGCTGTTGGGATCCAAGGGGCTTGGATCAGAGCCCAAGTCCTTAGGCTGTGGAAGTGTCTGTGTTGCTAAGTTGGGGTGGTGGATCTGGCAGGCGCTGAAGGAGGCAGCAGGGGGGAATTGATGGATTCCTGTGTGCTCCTAGTATGGTTCCGACTTTAAACTCTTATACAAGCAGCAAGTGAAGATCATCCCGAAGATCTGAAGGGGGATGAGACAAGAGATGACACACACTTAGGAACAGCTGTGCAGAATGGGATCTATGGAACTTAAATGGTTAACAAGCTCTCAACACTCAAGGTCGTCTCACTGGGAGATCAGTTAGGCTCCTCCAGCTGACATAAGACCTCTCCCGAACACCAGGATTGATCAGTGCAGGTGATCACTCCGAGTCACTGGCTTCTTCTCCCTGGCATTATGTCCTACCCTCAGTGTCCTGCGAAAAACCTGAGCTCAAACTAATAAGCCTCCAGATGGGCAACATTTCCACTGCTGCTCCACTCAGCTTGCAGCTATGGTAGTGCCCCGCTAGAGGTCATCTTCAGTCTAAAATAGGAACAGCAGTAGCAGGCCTATTAGGGAAGGAAATGAGAGTGTAGCTGTCCCAGGCCCCATGCCCAAGGGCTCTTCCCACCAAATTGTGAGAATTTCCTTTCTTAATAGACATTAATATATGAGTACAGTTATAAGTGCAAGTAACGGGTGTAAATAAAGTAGAAGTACAATCTCTATAAATGTTTAGCTTGTGAATTCTATTGATTTCCAAAATAGGACAGGAGGGAGAACGCAGAAAAGCTATCTGCCCCCAACTCTCTCTCATAGGCTCTGAATCCAAGCCCCACTCTGCCTCTCCCCCAATTCCCCTGTATGCGAGTTTGCTAGAATTTCATCTCTTAGGTCTGACCCCTTCTGCTGTACTGCATTTACTACCTGAAGGTCTTCCTTGGAAGCAAAAATAAAGGCCTCCAGTTTTAAGAACCCAGAGAAATTGAACTCTAATTCAGGCCATCTACACACTGGGTTTCCCAAAGTACTTGTTATTAGTTGCTCTGAGGAGACTATAAACTGAATGGCAGAGAGGCCAGTGTTGCAACTCCCACTCAGTGTCCTGAGTCCAAGATGCTGCTTCAGTAGGGCAGGGTCCCTGGCATCAAGGCCTACCACCCTCTAGAATCAGCCATGTCCCTTTACCTGTACACAAGCGATGCCAATCCCCACGGCCCCGATAATTTTCAGGTGTTCCTGGATGAAGTTTTCCAACTTAGTGATGCAGCCATTCTGTTGGGGTGATGGGAAGGAGACACAGTGAATGAGCTCCATTTCAATGCTCTGCCCCTCATACATTACAATGTGTGAAACTGAAATACCTGCGCTATGGTAGGCAGCTTCAGTGCAGGCAGGAAAACCGCAAGTATTTCTTGAAACAGCTTATTATTCTTGTCATGGTAGAGCCCAAGAATCCAGTCAGGGAACACAGCCCTGATATGTCATGCATTATGGAGACAAGTGGCAAAGATAACAGGCTCTGCCCTCGCAGTGAGCTTGCAAATCATGACTGGCATGGGGCAAGTAAATAGGGATTTACTATTTACTCCTTCCTTCTCAACTGGCACTAGATGGACACACAATGAAGTTATTGGGTAGCAGTTAGAAGGTTTAAAACTAACAAAAAGAAGTTTCTCACACTGTATGTAATTCACTCGTGGCATGTATTGCCACAAGATATCATGGAGACTGAGGACTTAGCCAGGTTCAGAAAGACTGAAAAATTCATGGAAGATCGGGCCATCAGTAGGTATTAAATGTGATGGGGGAATCAAGACTTCCTAGGCCTCTAAATACTGGAAGGTGTGGAGGGAGACAGGAAGGATGTGAATCAATCTGGTAGGCTCTGCCATAAATGTTCCTTTCCAGAGGCATAATGTGATGCCTGAGCAACCTGGGTGGCACTGAAACATGGGCAGGGCAGTGTCACTGGCTGCACTGCTGGCAGTACAGTGGTGGCCAGTCCGGCAGTACAGCTGCTTCTATTTCCCCATTCTCCCAAACCTAGTGCCCTGATCACCCACCCTTCATGATGCCACTGCTCCTTCCCTTAGCATCCTTTGCCACTGCGAGACAGGACACTAGGCTAAGTGGACCTGTGGTCTGACCCAGTATGGCTTTTCATATGTTCTTAACTTATATTTCCATTTTTATTATGAATACAGAATGAGACACATGGACAGCAGACGCTATGGGGCCAGGGGGGATGAGTCTAGGAGCATTCCAAAAATGGGTAGTTAACTCAGCCTGGGCCAAGGTTGTTGCCTTACAAGTGGCAGCTGATAAGGCAGTGACCTCTGAGCATGACAGCAGCCTCGCTAGGCAGGGGGGCTGCAAGTGAGGCCACTTCACAGAGTGCAGGACATCAGCCCTGCAGCCAGAGCTAGCCGAGGCTCTTACAAGCTCAAACCGGCCTGTTGTGGGCAAGTCGAGACCTGTCAACAAGAGGGAAGTTTCTCTCCAAGATACATAGAGAAAGATTTAATTACTGCTAGAATCTGCCTAGAGAGCACACTGCATCAACACTCAGTGTTGAAGGAAGCAGTGTTGGGTCCCCAAGGAGCTGCAGCTGGGACCAGTCACAAGGCCTTCTAACAACGCAGCCACCATTTAAGAGAATTCCTCTCTCAATGCTTTAACAGGGGTCAGCAACCCCCGGCACGCGTGCCAAGCAAGGCATGCAAGGCCATTTTGCTCGGCACACCACCACCAGCCTGGGCTATAAGCAGCTGCTGACAGCCACAGAACCCAGGCTGCTCCCAGCAGGGGCGGCTGGGAGGCGGCAAGCCCTGCTGCAAGCAAACCAGGCTCCGCGGGCCGGCTGCAGCTGGGCGGCTGCAAACAGCTGCTCCGGGCTCCAGCATGTCAGCACTCCAGCACCTTCCAAGGTCGACATTGTGGTTTTTTCGGCACTCCAGCCAAAAAACGTTGCCTACCCCTGCTTTATAAAGTGATGAGGCACTGTGTGGGCCTGGAAAGTTGCAGCACTGCCTGCCTCCATCTTGTAATTGTGTCCTTGGCTGGCAGCCTTGTTCCCTTCCCAGGCCTGCCAAGTTGCTTTTGGCACAGAAAAGCGGCAAGAAGGTTCATTAGTTTTTGGAACAGGTATCTTTAAATAATTAAGCAGTTTAATCGAGCGAAGTGGAATCTTCCCTGGTGAGGATTTAACACAGAGATTGCGCAGCACCGTGTAGGTGCCAGGTGCCTTCCAGGCAGGACAGAAAGGCTCGTGTTCCACAGGTCTCACAGTCTACCACGACAGATGAAGGGAGAGTAGTGTAACAAATAACCCCGGGGTTGGGGAAAGGAGGGCATGGGACTTGCCAGTTCCAGGGGCTTGAGATAAAATTTTGCAGCTATCCTCAGCAGCCCTGATTCTAAACCATTTATTTCTCAACCCAAACCTCTCATTTCTTCAATCCCACTAAAATCCCATCTGAACTATCATCTTTCCCTGTCCTCACCCATCACACTGTCCCACGGTCACACTGTTTCCTACTCTCCTCTAGGGCTCACAGCTCGGTTTGAATCTATTCCAGGAGGTTTCTGGAACGCCAATGTTCCCATGACACACAACATGAATGTACCCACGTGCTTGCATATAATAGTTATGGATTACGATGCACAGACTTTATGTCAGGAAGGTAAATGCATGCACATTTACCTTTACATCATGCATGCACATGACTATTACATTTTAAAACCTACTGGACTACTGTATAAATCAGATCCAACATTTAATATTTATTTTAATGAATGCCCTTTCATTTCTCTCCTGGGTGACCTCAGCAGTCTCCTGGAGATTTATATCTAATTCCTGGAGACTCCAGGGCAATCCTGGAGGGTTGGCAACCCTCCTCCCTTCAGAGGTAACAAATCATGCCTCACCACAAGCTCTCTGTCCCCTTTAAGCTAAATTGGCCCTTTCCTATCACCGGGTGGTGTCTTCCTCTCCTCAGAGTTAACTCAGCCCTCTGTGAACTCTTTCCTTTCAGAGCTAAATCCTGCTGCCCTGCGACCTCCCTCAGAGCTAGCCCACCTCCCTCTTCGATGCTCCTTCTCTCTCTAGCTATCTAGACTCATGCTTTCCCTGCAGGCTCCCCTTCTCTCAGCCAGATGGACAGCTGTCTACAGCTGTGTGTATCATGACCAGACACCTGAACCACTAACCCATCGCTGCAGCAGGATGCACCTTTCTGCTATCACGGTGTTTCTTCCTGGTCTACTGATCATTTGTTTGATTTTGCTCCCCACTTCCTGATCAAGACCAGCACCAGATGTGGAAAAGGCTCTACTTAGTTGTATTCAACCAACCCAGAGCCAGGGATCTCCTTGTTCATGGAAGCCCAAATTTTAAGGGAAGGAGGGACTGTTCTGAACCAGTCTCAGATCCACCCATCACAATTCATGCCCTAAGGCATAACAGCAGGTTAGCTTTGTATGTCTGATCCTGTTGGTTTATCTGCAAACGTTAGTCATGCTCCTAAAACTATCTAATCCTCACTGAGTCCTGCCGAAAGAACATCCTCTGTGAGAATATCTGCCTTAGAGGGGCTGCATTTTTGTTTACTGTACTTTCTTGTCATGATGAGATGTTGCAAACAAGGAGAAGGCTCCAGTTGGCATTCACCACCTCTCTAATTACTGCTCTCCAAGCAGCCAGCCATAGAGCTCACTCCACACATTTGTAATCTTACTTCACTAATGAATAAACCAGGCTAGAAAGAACACGTTAAAGCCACTGAACAGTACCTGGGGCAGAGCAAATCCATTTATGATGCCAAAATAAATGCGTGTATATCCAGCACCCATACTAGATCCTGTATTAATGTGCATTAGGCGGCTGAGTGCCTAGCTTCCCACCTCCATGCTCACTTTTTTGGAATTGCTTTGCCTGCCTAGAGTAAAGAGAGACTACTTTACTCTATCCCAAACTGTAGCCTGTCAGCACTCTAATAATTTGACATCTACACAACCCATTTTCTCCCAAATTCCATTTCTTTCCTTCACATCAGACAGGCCAAACCCATCCATCCTTCTATCTAGCTGCCCCTCTCCCCATCTAAGGATCTGAGAAAATTCTACTTGAATCACTGCTACTAAGAAGTAGTGATTAGACACCTAGCCCTTACTGATGGTGTCAAGGTGTACTGAACCCTGGTGCAAAAGTGTTAATTATATCCTGCCACTTTCCCCCCTGGAGGCGTGATTTTGGGATTGGGAACAGGGTAGTGTCAAAAATCCCAGTGACTTCAGCAGGGTTTAGATCCAGTCCTAAGTAGCTACGAGTTTGCTAGTAATTTGCATCACAGACCCAGCGACATGCTACAACTGCAGAGTCAGCTTGCTCTTTACCTCCTTGTAGATATTGGAAGGATGGTCTCTCTTGCCACATGCATCTGTTATTGTCTTACAGCAGCTGTCAGGGACTCTCCGCCCACCGGATTCTGCAGATTTGATCCAGAGACTGTCACTCCAGTCTGTATAGTTATTGCTTCCACAGCACTTGAACTGCAGATACACAAAGCACAGGCAAAGTCTGTACCAGAATGCACAGCACCTTCCTCTCTCCATCCATCTTCTCCACCCCAAACTCCTGGCTGGACGCTCCTTCCCTAGTACATCATCAAACAGTGATTCCAGCTGGCAGCATCTGTATTAGCGGCGTACTCATGTGTAAGTTTGAACATCAGCAATATCTTCCTTTTAGCTGTGGGGAGATCAGTAGCAATTGCTGTTCTGTATGGATACGGGACCAGAAGCAGTTGATTTATGTCTGCAGCTACTTCTGGCCTTAACAACAATATTGGGGAAGTACTGAAGATGATCAAGTTGAATCAAACTGCAGACCTCTGCAAAATGCTACTACTCAATAGGCAACAGCCCATGGCACTGGAAGTTGTGGTTGACTGACTGGGCTTACTGTCTGTATGGGTCCTAGCCAGCAGTCTGTCATGGGAATAAAGCTCAAGCCATCAGACCATAAAGGTCTGTGTCTCCCTCCTTGGCTCTGTAAAACATGGAAAAACTGTAGTCCAGCATTGGTCATACCTGACTCAGCATTTTTATGTAGCTGAGATCCTCAGAGAAGAGGTGATAGAAGATGTGCCAGTTATCATTTTTAATTTACAAGCAGCAATGCTTCGATGGTAGAAAATTGGGCATTTATCTTCTTGTGACCTAAGCTATAGTTTCCTGGGTTTCAAACTAAAATGGAAACAGCAGATGTCAAAACACTAAAATACACACACTTTTTGGAAAGTGAGAAAATGGCCAGTGCAGGATTCAGGACTTCTCCCTGACTTCAGTGCTCCTGCATCTCCAAGGTTCATTTACCAGAAGAGAAGTGTGTGTCAGATACTGGAACACCGGCTTCCGATAGTGGTGAAGGTAAATTTGGTTTTAATATGAGTATATGAGTAGGAAGAGCTGAGGGGACTGGAGGATAATTTATAAGGACTATGAAGTTGTCAGGAATGAGGTCCTTCATATCACTTAGTTATTTCAATCCTTCACCACTGTCTGGTACCACAGTAACAAGCAACAAGGCCTTTCATTTGTTATATCTAACTCTCTGGGGTACTGGGAAGCTTAATTAACACCGTTCTCCTCCTCACAGCCTACTGCTTGCATCTTGGAGGCAGAAGCAGATATCAATGTTCATTAGCCAGCATCAGCTAATTCTGTGAATGATACAAATATCATCATCTCCCTTACAGCAATCTGATTGATTGTGCAGCCAACATCCGCACACAAAAGTCCTTACACATGCCTGCAAACAACTTGGCATACCCTTGGCCCAGTGCCCTACCCATCCCGTTGGGAATTGGGGGGAAGTGGGAAACATATTTTCATTGACAAGAGCTCATCACCTTAGAATGATATTTTTATAGCTCCCCCCTTAGCTTAATTTTCTACCTGTCTTGAAGGCCTAAAGGAGCATAGTGGCAGAGCACTAACAATGCCACAGCTCTGGGGATGCAAGTTTGATCCCCACGCTGAAAACCACCCTCAGTTGTCCTACCTGTAAATGGTACATGGTCATTCAGAGTGGGGAGTCAAGCATAGCTAGACAGGATGCTGGCCACAGTGCTCCCTAGTGCACAGCTGGCTACAAAAACTAGTGTATGTTAACCATGCTAGCCTGATAGACAGATAGGGTGAAAGAGACCTTTGATCTTGACCTTGGGGGCCTACCTCCTGCTGCAGTTTGTCCACTGCGCTGGTCACACTCTCCTCTCCTTCCTTCCGGTACTTCTGGGTCATGGTGTCCTTCAGGTTTTGCTTCAACTCCATACTCAACTAAACAGAAGGAGCAGTGGGATAAGACCATGAAGCAAACATACCTCCCTCCTCAGTGCCACCCAGACCCTTTGACATTTCCTAGCACCTTCACTCCTGAGAGGGCAGCAGAAAGCCCAGTAGGAGCTCCTTGAAGTTTTCCTCTTCCAGTGTAGATTGGGCTGGTTTCCAGAATGCATGAGCTTATTTTAGCCTCCTGGCCCTTTAAATACTATTTCCCCTCCTCTCCCCAGTTTTAATTTCTTCATTACTGCTAAGGTCTCTTGTTGGGCCAAATCTGTCAGCCTGTAACATAGCTCACTGCAACAACTACCATATTTAAAGGGATACTGTCAAGATGGACAGGCCTGCACCAAAATAGGACTCAATATGCCTCAGAGATTTCACATTTCTGGAACCAGAGGCCAAAGTGCTCCAGCCAGAAGCACTGCATTATAGATTCAGAGACCTGAGCAGGCTGGGTTGAAGTGACAGTCTCCAAGCGTCTTGTATCAACAGCTGAAAGGAAGCTGCACAAGATGACTGAGAGCATGATTTTAAGACTTTGGACGTCTTTCTAAATCTTAGCAATGCATTCACCGGGCAAGAAGAACACTGCACGGAGATAGAAGGGTTGACATCTGGAGCCTAAGCTGCTGACACAGAGAAACTTGTCTGCAAACTCATCCTTTCATCTATTCGGCTGATGCTCCAAAGACCCACTTGCATTTTTTCCCCTGTATTTCCTTGCCCATCTCACTTGGCAACCAAAGTATAACTAAGAGCTACCTTCTTTCATATCAGCCACCCCCTCTTCCTGGTTCATTCAGAAACAATGCCACAACCTGTACATGGGAAATCACAAATCTCTTGTGGATGGATGGAGGTCACTGAATGAACCAGGCAGCAGAAGGAAACAAGTTTGACTGACAGGAAAAAAGCTTCTCCATACATCTCTATTTCTTAGAGATCAGCGAGAATTGTCAAATGAAATACAGGAAAAGAAATTCTGGTCCCACCAGACCAGGGAGAGGAAGCCGGGGGAGCGGGGAGCAGCACAAGTTCTGGATTCTTTTCACCCCCTCCTTTAAATCTGATGAAGGTAGCAGTGATTCTCCAATCCCATCAGTACCACAGGGGACAACACCTACCGTACAGAGATGACGTGAGGCTTCACTCATTAACATTTGCAAAGGGCTTTGAGATCCTGGGCTGGAAGGCTCAAGAGAAGCGCAAAGTACTTAGTGCAATAAAGACAAGGGGAAAAGTTCAGCAGCTGGTTGGCACCAAAGGCAAATAAAGAGAGAGAGAGTTCATTAGCAGAAGTATTTAACAGCAGACAAGCAGTTACCTGCGGGCTCACGGGGAAGAACTGCAGCATGGAACAGAGACAGCAAAGAAACACATGGTTTAGACACCCAGAAGCACTGGCCACAAACAGCAAGGGGAAAGCAACAGCAAAAAGAGGAAGCAGCCTGAGCTCAGGAAAGCAGAGGAGTTTATACAAGACAGAAGAGATAAGCATGTTGACCGGTGAGCCAAACATGTCCCCAGATGATCTCCAAAGCTGCCTGGGACCACAGCTCTGAATAAGCCATGCTCCAGCTTGAGCTGAGAGGTGTCTACATATCCTCCATTGCCACAGCTTACTTTAGTCCTTGCTCAGGTCCACATGGAGCATGGCTTCCATGGGGTGATCCTTCCATATCAAAATATGGAGACACTGTCCATGTTATTCTTGCCAATGCTGCTGTTGATAAGGCAAAGCAGGGGTGCCCAGAACCAAAATGGAAGTTCCTCTTCCAATGAATATCCAACCACTGAAAATGCCTCCTCCTATCTGCAGTGTGTGTTTGGTTTTGCAAACAAACCTCACACCATTTCCAACAGTTTGCCCTCCCCAGAAGCCAAGCCTTTTCCAACTGGCTGGGAGAAAGAAGAAAAACAAGCTCCTTCAGAGGCAGCTCCCTAGACTCTTTACTCCTCGTTGCCTAGACTTGCTCTGATTCTGTGAAACCATCTGCTCCTTACGAAGACTAAAAGCTCTGTTATCTGTGACTGCCCTGGAATCTAGGCTGTGGCCTTGGGTATTTGGAGCTGTAGTCTTCTTGGTTTGTCCCCCAGCTGTGCTAGCTGAATGCTGTACAAATGGATCCCCAGGAGAACACTGATGGCTGGAAGGACTACACTTTTCAACTGGCCCTTTCACAGAACACTGATGGCTGGAAGGACTACACTTTGAAACTGGCCCTTTCCCCATCCATATCAATCCAGGCACTTTATGGCAAACTTGCCTAGCTTGGCAAGGACTGATTCTGTTCCACAAATACACTAGATGGCCCTACTGTAATAAACCTTACCTGTGTTACCCTTACAGCTATCTGAAAAAGCCTCAGGTCAATAGTCTCTACTAGAACCAGTGATTCATAACACCATCACAAATGAGGGCAGGCAAGGGCGGAAAATGTCTCTGTCTCCTACATACACACAACAGCTGAATGCCTTGTCAAATAACCTGCTGTATTTTGTATATGGAGGGAACAGAGTAAAGATACTCAGTGAAACATGGGTCTGAAAAGACATGGGGCTCCAAACAAAACCTAGACCCCAAACCCCTGGCATCTGTGCCATCGCCCTACTCTCAAAACAGGTGATAACTAGCAGCTCGCTCGCTCTCTCTCTGGTTTGAGCCTTTTGGTTTAATTTGCACTTACCTGCTGGTAGTAGATATAAGCCAGGATTCCAGCAATGATCTCAAGCAAGAAAATGCACAGCAGCAATATGAAGTACTGCAAAACAAGGGTGAAACATCACCTGTCAGAGCAGGGCACTGGGAGGGAACAAGGGAGGTCCTAGAAGCTCCCTTCAGAGTTATAAGGCGAAAAAGGGGCCAACATGTGTCATTATTATTTCTTTATTGCAGTTGTTCTCAAAGGATTCCCTGGGGATTGGGATCATATCAGATTAAGCTCTGACAAAATGTTACAAACTCCACTCAAGATAAGCAGCATCAAGGAGGTTTATACAATATGTTTGAAAGCAGAGGAGGAAGGAAAAATGAGGGCAACAGTAATGAAATCTCAGTGTGGCCAGTGCATAACTTTATTTTTTTTATTTTATTTTTTTTTAAATAAAATTCTGCCTCACCAGGTTCCCAAGGTTTTTATAAACCCTTTGGCTAAAGGAAATCTCCACTTCCTAGCAGGCTGCCTCTTTGCCTGGAAGACACAGGTAACAGGCACCCTTTGGCACTAGTAAAATACTGCTGACATGCACGCCCACTCCTTTCTATCGGATCAGATTTCCCCTGTCACCAGTGCTGGAGTTCAGCAGCTGCACGGGAGGGACAGTTGGGTTTTATCGGCAGGCCAGGCTTTAATCTGAGCATACAATTTCAAACATTCACTCCCAGACCCGTACTCTCCCCCAAGCAGCTCTCAGCTGAACACTGCGAAGCATCTGCACATGCTTGTACAAGATACCCATTCATACCACGGGAATGAGTCACCCGATGGAGAGCTGGATAAGGAAAGGCTGGGCTCCACGCTAACAGGAGGCTGAAAGGGGCATGACAGGAAAGCAACCCACCCAAACAAAGGGGTCCTTTCTTTTGTTGGAGCCCAGTTACGCAACACTTCTCTGACATCATCTTGCCGAGAGGGGGAAAAAACAACCAATGAACTGGAAAGTTTCTCTTTCCTTCATCTATTTTCTCCACATGGGATATTTTTAGTGCTCGTGTCAAAAGCATTGAGGTGGAGCTGGCATGTGCCACAGCATCTCAGCTCATTAGAGCACACCGAAGAGCTGTGGCAGGAAATCCTAGAGAAGGCTATGGATGACAAGGCCTCTGAAAAACACAAGTCAGTACATCTACTGCCCGTGCGGTCAGCTTGTCTATGCTAATGCATCTGGTTGTTATTGCTATTCCACCTTCACCCTGGTAAGCTGTCTGCTTGTTTCTTTCATGCATCTGTTACGTCTCGTCTACTTTGAAAAAGGAGTGATGCCTCTCTTTTTACGTGGTGTGTGTACAGTACCTTGCACAATGGGAACCTGGGCCTAATCATAACCTCGCAATGCTGTTGTAACATAAATAAGGCTAAACTACTTTCTTGAGCTCTTTTCCCAGGTAAGTATCCAAGGACTGTCTGGGGCTGGAAAAAACAGACCTGGTCTTTATACTCAGCTCTACTGGCCAAGAGATATCTTCTAGGGCAGTGTTTCTCAACCAGTGGGTCATGACCCAAAAGCGGGTCGCAAGAATATATGAAAGGCTTGCAAACAAACTTTAAAAACGGATTCTCCTTTAAAGGAGAAAAGTGGTGGCTTTTCCCTTGCAGGCTGGCAGAGTCCAGCCTGTGAAGGGCTGCTTGAATATCCTGTCCCCCCTCCACACCCCTCCCCACCCAAACACTGGGGGCTGGAGCATGGGTGCAGGGGGCAGCGGGCTGGGAGTGAGGGGCACTGCTTTAGGACCTGCCATGGACGTTTACAAATGGGTCCAGATACAAAAAAAAGGCTGTGAACCACTGTCCTAGGGATTCCTGGTTTTATGGGTTGCTCTGCATTTGTCTCAGGGCCACTGTAAGACCTACAGCTGCTTTATGGGCTTGTAAAAATCTACGCACATCAGTGGCAAAATACAGATCAAGTCCCTGAGTCTCGGGTAGATGTCTCTTGCTGTAAGCCTTTTCAGCAATGTAAACGGTGACAAAAAGATGACTTATCCAGAGTTTCCCTGGAACAAGGAGGGATTGCCGGCGGGCAACACTACATCACTTCCTCCTTTCGTAGCCTGTAGCACGGGGTGTTACGTCTCAGCTCTGTATTCTTGGGGAACCCTGGTACAGGATACAGTCTGTCTGACTCACAAAGGACTCACCCCCC